TGTTTGTTAAGGCCCATTTACCGTACACAGTATTTTATAAATACACTATACAACAATATTGTTCGTTTTATTTGCTGTATTGCAAGTACTCATTTAAACAACAAATGCCATCCGGCATGGCCAGGTGCTTAGGAAGCTCGAATCGCAATCTTTGCGAATCACCGTGCCACCAAACATGCTCGCCCTTTCAGCCGTGGGGGCATTATAATGTGACGGTCAATCCCACTATTCGTTGGTAAAAGAGTAGCCCAAGAGTTGGCGGTGGGTGGTGATGACTAGCTGCCTTCCCTCTAGTCTTTCACTGCTAAAGTAGGGACGGCTAGCGCAGATAGCCCTCGTGTAGGACTAGAGGGAAGGCAGCTAGTCATCACCACCCACCGCCAACTCTTGGGCTACTCTTTTACCAACGAATAGTGGGATTGACCGTCACATTATAATGCCCCCACGGCTGAAAGGACGAGCATGTTTGGTGGCACGGTGATTCAAACCCGCGACCCGAAGATTGCGATTCGAGCTTCCTGAGCACCTGGCCATGCCGGGTGGTATTTGTTGTTTAAATGAGTACTTGCAATACAGCAAATAAAACGAACAATATTGTTGTATAGTGTATTTATAAAATACTGTGTACGGTAAATGGGCCTTAACAAACAGCGTTCTCCGGTGGGCTTAAAACGTTGAAATCCTAGGTTCATTTCCCCCTGGTGTACACAGTAAAAAAACCCAACATTGCTTTGCTCTAAAATAAACAAACAAATAAACTTAACAAAAAAAGCTCCATTCCATGTCTTCACCGGAAAATGTGAATTTGTTGGGTTTGAAAATTATAAGTAATACAGTTTTTACTTGGTCAATTTTCTCTATTTCAGGCACATTGTATTTTGTATATAAAATCATCTATCTTGCGGTAAAAAATTATATTTCTTTCTATGAACCGATAAAATTTTCATAACTACGGAGACGTTTTTTTCACACTATTTTCCATGTTTATCACCAGGAAAATTTAGTCAAATATTTATAGTGAAATGCATAATAAAAGTAAATAAAAATAAAAATTAAAGTACTTTCGGGTAAAGCATTTCACGTTTCACCGTCAGATTTCTCTTTTCTCCACAAATTACCTAATAGTGATGATTTGTATAAGAAATGTCACTTAAGAGAGAAACAGACACACCAAGTTGTGAGAATACTAGTTAAGAAGAAAGTATATATTTCAATTTTTATAGTTAGTATTTTGTATAGCAGCCTCTAGTTTACATTAGCTGCTTACCTACTGGACTTGCTATAGGAGTAGCATGACTGTCAAAAAAGTGAAATACTACTTCCTTCCTGAAATAATATTTCCTTCCTAACTAAATGCCGGTTAAAAGAGAAAGAGATCATACAGTGTGTAACTTCTTCCTTCTGAACTAACATTTTCATACAGTGTGTAACTATTTCTTCTGAACTAACGTTCCCGTACAGTGTGTAACTACTTCTTTTTAACTTTGTCATACTGTGTGTAACTACTTCCTTCTTAACGAACATTCTAATGCTGTATGTAACTATTTCCTTCTCAACGAACATTCTAATGATGTGTGTCACTACTTCCTTCTTAACTATTTTTATCATAGTGTGTGTAACTACTTCCTTCTTAACTAACATTCTCATACTGTGTGTAAAATGTTAGTTAGGAAGGAAGTGGAGCGAGTATTTTTGCTTAAGGAAAGATTCGCTCTGTATGAGAATTTTTAGTACTAAATTTTTATTTTATCTTATTTATTTTTGTGTTATGCTTTCAGTTCTGTGATTCTTTGGAAGCCAATTGAAGGACCGTTCAGTAACAAAATTAAGATGTCCTGGTTGTTTCACTTGCTTGAAAGCCTCCTTATTTACGAGAGCATAGTTTTTCTGGTGTTTCCAGTGTCTGTATTAAATTCAGGTGAGACATTTATTTAATTATCTACTTATGTGTATATTCGTTTGTAAAACTAAACTTGGTGTTAAATCGTGTACAACAAAAGGTCTTGGATCTCTGTAGTTGTTTTATGTTTTCTTTTTCTTATTAAGCAATTGTTCAAACAGCTGTATATCACACTTTCGATGTTTTGTACAAGTTTGGAATCTTGTGCCGTAGCTAAATCTGTTCAAGCAGTATAACAACTTGATTTTTTTTGTCAAAATAAGAAAAAAAAGTTTTCTTTCTAGGATTGACACTGATTCAAAACACAAAGTTGGACTTCACGTTTAACATTATTTATTTAATGCTATATATTGTTATAATGCCCCCCCCCCCAGTGGCACAGCGGTATGTCTGCGGACTTACAATGATAGAAACCGGGTTTCGATACACGTGGTGGGCAGAGCACAGATAGCCCATTGTGTAGCTTTGTGCGTGAATACAAAACAATATATATCCATAATGATTATGTATATTGTAATGAAGAAATTAGTAATTTTATTTTATACTTTGTCACTATCTATCTGTCAAAAATCTACTTTTCTGTATATTATCTGACTATTCTCTCTATTTTCTTTTTGACTTGGATATTAATATTCCGACTTTTAATATCCTGGATTCCACAATCAACCGCTCCAGTAGATAACTTTTCAAACAACTGATCAAGTAACGTTCTTCTTCAGGAAGTACAGAATCACGAAGAAATTAATAACACAGTCACAAATACATATACATATACTGCCCATGTTATAAAAAATAACCAGAACGCTTCAACATATTTGAAATTACACTGCCTCCGAAACAATCTTATTTTTCTTTTTTATGCCTGCTCTAAGACCAACTGATGATTATCGAGTGGAAGCCTTTTCTTATTACTATGTACAAAAACTGGTTCTAAAATTATCTGATGTGACACAGTGTTTTGAAATTTTATATTTTAACGAGTTTATGAATCTCCAGAAAAGGTTATTAAAGTCATTAATTCTGAGAAACAAATAAACAGTAGCTAACTGTATATTATAACATTTACGTTCATAGAGAATGTATTTCTAATAGTGATTGTAAAGTCACAAACAAATGCTTTGTTTCTTGTGTATCTGATAACTGTAATGTAAAATAATTATTTTTTGTTGACTTATTTTAAAATTCTTTTTCTGTCCAGTACCCTCTAGCGGATGCTTTTTAGCTTGTATTGATGAAAACTTTTATTTTTTAAATATTTTTGACTTTATATCAAATAAAATACCACCATCTATTTCTTTTTCAATAAAAACTAAAACATAACATATTTTTGATAACCATCCTGTTATAAATAATTTTCAAGTGTTATAAAAAATGTCATGTTATTGGCAATGATAAATATGACATTCAGTACCTCAAATAACTATTCTTTTAAAGCTATTATACATTTAATTTTGTGTGCTTTATCCTAAAATTTTTCTCAAATCGTTTACAGTTTTTAAAGTATTGAAAAATTCCCTTTGTGGTATGGTACCTTGCCTACAAGGACGTCCAGTAATCCACGATTTTGTGCAATGTCTCTCGTGCGCATTCTGTTGTTACACTGCGTCACTGGGACTAGTGCAACGAAACGGTGCTGACAAAAATATAATGTTAAAAATAATAGTAGTTAATAAATAGAAAAACTTCTAAATTCTTTGAATTTGAGTTAAATTTTTATAGGTTCATTTTATATTATCTTGTTCAAGGTTTGTTAATTTTATTAACTAGCAGATGTTATACACTAGCAATAGCTAGATTGCTAAGATTCATTTTTTGTTTATGCAAATATAGTTATTACAAAGTTATCTGCGTACAAAATTAAATGTTCTGTAAATGTGTTCTTGAGGAAATTTTTTATTAGTATTTAAATTGAAATCACCTTATAATTTCTTGTTCTCACTAGACTATCTATATAGGAAATAATAAATATTATTATAGATTAAAAAATATTGATTGCAGTGATCAGCGTACTAGAAAGTCCCATAATTGTATATTGTCACTTCACTGAGCAAAGCAACGTGGCCACAGCTCAAACTTTTCCACGGTGACCTGACATCGACAAGTCTTTGTTGGAAGTTTATCAACCAGAAGTATGCGTAAGAAAATTTCTGCTAATCGACCAGATGATATACAGCTCCTTTTCTACACCAAGTAGCCCTTAAGCCTACAGTTACATGGTTCCCAGACTCTGTTTTACTGTGTCTATTAGAATGAATGCTACAAAAACTCCTTTTCTGTTAGTTTTATAATTTACAGTTTAAATTGAAAGGTTCATTTTATTTTTTATACCATGTGTATAATATATTAGAGATGTAACATCTTAGAGTAAAGAAGTTAAGCCTATACTGTCCGTTACTAACTGCATGTATTTCGGATAAATACATGAATGACGTAAGTAGATAAACGAATTAATGCCTAAATTTGTTTTGTTTTAGATTTAAGCACAAAGCCACCCACAGAGCTATCTGTGCTCTGCCCACCACGGGTATCGAAACCCGGTTTCTAGCGTTGTAAGTCCATAGACGTACCGCTGTGCCACTGGAGGTCTAATGCATAAAAGGAAAATTTATATATAAAAATTTAATTTTACCACTAAAATAAAATAAAAAGATATCTGAGATAAAAAAATCAACCCTTTTTATCTTAATGCTAATACAAAATAAAAATTCACACCCGGAAACTAAATGATTGTGAGAATTATGTACCATGATTTTAAATTATTTAATGGTCATTTTTAAACCCCACCACAGGTATCGAAACTCGGTTTCTAGCGTTGTAAGTCTGCAGACATACCGCTGTGCCACTGGGGGGCCTGCATTATGAGGTGCTCAAAATGTTACTTTTTAACAGTATTCTTGTTTAGTAAAATCACTAGTAGCCATCAAATGACTGTAAATGATACTGTTAAAACACACACACACACAATAATGACGAACATAAATTAGTACATAACGGCAATTCACTGTACGTCTATTAATGCTTTTGTTCATGAACTGAATTTAATAAGATATTTTATTACGTGTAAATAATTTACTGGCTATTTAATTATTGAAAGAAAGTAAAACAAGTACAAAAAAAATAATAATATGGCTTCTTTGTTTGTTTGTTTTTGAATTTCGCGCAAAGTTACACGAGGGATATCTGCGCTAGCCGTCCCTAATTTAGCAGTGTAAGACTAGAGAGAAGGCAGCTAGTCATCACCACCCACCGCCAACTCTTGGGCTACTCTTTTACCAACGAATAGTGGGATTGACCGTCACATTATAACGCCCCCACGGCTGAAAGGGCGAGCATGTTTGGTGGGAAGGGGATTCGAACCCGCCACCCACAGATTGCGAGTCGAGCGCCTTATCCACCTGGACATGCCGGGCGAATGATATGGCATAAAGAAAATGTAATGAGAAAACGATATTTATTTTCCCATTTCTCAAAACAAGCGTGTGTGTGTATGTTTTTGGTTAAAGCAAAGCCATCTCTGATTTTAGCATTGTAAATCCGAAGACTTACGTCGTCTCACCGGGTGACATTCAAAACAAACAATGACAAACACACACACACACACACACATAGAGAGAGATAGAGAGAAATGGACCGTTTGTATTTAAAATAATTTCAAGAACTACTCCAAGTCCAAGTTTCACTAGAGAAACAAGGTTTTATGATCTGGCCATGCTCTGATATTACAAGATTCATGACCACCGTCCATAAAAGTAGTGATATATAGAATTCTGTAACTCTTTTAAAGGCCTATGTAATATTAATGCTTTGACTTGACGTTTGCTTTATTTTTGTAAAATTGTTGGTTTATCTCAGTATCTTCAATGAAGGCATTTAGAAACATTATTGTTGTTTCATCTTCAGATAGGACGTTTTGAGCTTTGCCCTCTACTTTACGCTTACATTGAATCTTTATTTAACTTGAAATATAAAATAAAGCGCTCTTTCTTTAAAGTCAGTTGATATTTTTGACTTTCGCGACCTTTCGTTACTGTAAAAATAGCTTCGTTTATTTGTTTTTTTGCACCAGTTGTCTGTCTTTGCTGTGTCCGTCGCAGGTAATGAACCCCAAATTTCAACGTTATAAACACTCAGGATTAAAAATATCTCTATCTGTTTATTTTAGAGCAAAGCTATACGATAAAATAGCTATGATTTGTCCATGGATTTGGTTGGTTGGTTTGTAAATTAAGCACAAAGCTACACAATGGGCTATCTGTGCTGTGCCCACCACGGGTATCGAAACCCGGATTCTAGCGTTGTAAGTCCGCAGACATACCGCTGTGCTACTGGGGGGCTTTGTCCATGGAAGGGATAGAATCCCGAATATTAGCGTTACAACCTTTCAAGCTTGCTTTGAGCTATCAAAGGACATATAACTCCATACATTATGCAACGTATTCCAAATACATGTATTTACTTAAAATTTCTTAAATACTTCGTCAATTTGTTTATGTATAACCTCAGATAAACGTTTAAGACTACAGGCATATTTGTTCAATATAGTGTATCTGAACATTTGTAATTATTACACCCCTTTAGCTGATTACCTTCCTCTAAGTAATTCTTCCCACGGACTTTTCTTCCGTCTCAAAAGCCTCCGTGGTGGACAGAGCACAGATAGCCCTTTGTGTAGCTTTGTGCTTAACTATAAACAAACAACCCCATTTAAAAAAATATGTTCTAAAAGATTAATAAAGTATTTCATTGTAATTATACAGAAAAGCTGATGGATAATAATATTATTCTTTTACCTTTAATCATTTTACTCAGTACCTGCCAGACGCTCAAAAACGAAACTCTCGGCATGTCGTATCAAACAAAACGATGTTGCTACGAAAGTTTATCCAAGGTCCTTGTATCCATAAGATGACTCTAAACTAAAGGTCATTTTTTAATGTAAAGTTTAACCAAGGTCCTTGTATCCATAAGATGACTCTAAACTAAGGGTCATTTTTTAATGTAAAGTTTATTATTATTGT